TAGAGACATAAGAAATATAATCTAATATTGTTCTTCTAGTTTTTTTTTTTGCAAGAACTATTCCAAGATTCGTCCCCCATCTCCACTTCCCTCTCCGGCACTCCTTCCCAATACCTTGGTCAACCTTTTATCCCCTCCGCTCCAGTAATAATGATTAAATCCGTTCTAGCGCGCCTGCGCTGGGTACTCGGGCTGGGAGCCCCGCTAGCTTGCAAGGGGGAGGAGAGGGTTGAGGGCGAGGGGAGGGGACAAGAAAGCTAGCGGTCCCGCCCGGTGATGCAGGCAGCCCTGGGAGGTGGAGCCCCGCGCCTGAGGAGTCCCCACCGCAGTCGCGCTCTGCCCACCCCACCAAGCAGCAGCCGCCAGCCCCAGCTCCAGAAACCTCAATTTGAAGCGTCAGGGACCGCGGGATCCACCCTGTTCAGGCCTGGGGGCGCCTCCGCCACGCCCAGCCCCGACCCCTCCTAGCTTCCCAGACGGCTGAGCGACTCCCGGGGGAAGCGGCTCCCGGACGCTCGGCCGCCGCCCGACCATCTCGGCTGCCAGCCCGGCTGGGCACCGGGCATCTGCGAAGCTAGCCCTATTTGGCACTGGCCATCTCCGGGCACCTACCGTCTCGGGCGCCGCCCAGCTTCTTGCGACTCCCCGGCCGTGGACTTCGCGCCCTCCCCGACCCCGGCCGCTGGGCAGGACGCCCGTGAGCTTCCGGCGACCCCAGCCCCTTCGGCCGCCGCCGCGATGCTGCCCTGGAGACGGAACAAATTCGTGCTGGTGGAGGATGAGGCCAAGTGCAAGGCGAAGAGCCTGAGCCCGGGGCTCACCTACACGTCGCTGCTCTCCAGCTTCCTCCGCTCCTGCCCGGACCTGCTGCCGGACTGGCCGCTGGAGCGCCTGGGCCGCGTGTTCCGCAGCCGGCGGCAGAAAGTGGAGCTCAACCGGGAGGACCCGACCTACACCGTGTGGTACCTGGGCAACGCCGTCACCCTGCACGCCAAGGGCGAGGGCTGCACCGACGACGCCGTGAGCAAGATCTGGGCGCGCTGCGGGCCGGGCGGGGGCACCAAGATGAAGCTGACGCTGGGGCCGCACGGCATCCGCATGCAGCCGGGCGAGCGCAGCGCCGCGGGGGGCCCCGGGGGCCGGCGGCCGGCGCACACCTACCTGCTGCCGCGCATCACCTACTGCGCGGCGGACGGGCGCCACCCGCGCGTCTTCGCCTGGGTCTACCGCCACCAGCTGCTGCAGCCGCCTGCTGTATTTTACCCGGGCTACTGGGCCGTCG